CCTTACTGGAGTTTGTTTTGTGCATGAATAAGGAAATCTACCTCAAAGAATTCCGGTTACAAGTTACATTCTCCCTCATCTAAAAGACAACAAAAATATTGTACAATTAAATATAGTTTTCTGTTGCCAAGTCAAAAATATTTGGGATTTATATCTGATTATTTTGGAAAGTTTTTTTGAAAATGAAAGCCTCCATATCATTTTAGAGTTCAGATTTAGTGTATTTGCTTGTTAAACATCACTACTTTGTCTCAGTAAAGTGAAGGGAAATTGCTTACTGCTTTTTTTCCAATAAATGGATTTTCTTCTGTAATCTTCATTTAATCTACAATCTTGAGAAAAAGAGACTGTATCTTTTAAAAACACATACCATATTAATTTCAAAATTATATTTTTATTTGAAGATTGTAATTTAGTTTTCATTTTTGCCCTGCACTTTGTGAAGATGCAGGTTTAATCACTCAGAGCTTCTCCTGCAATCCCTGCAGAAAACAGACATCATCTCACTGGGAAATCTGATCCCAAAGGTTTTACCAGTGTTACCAGAGAAGGTGAATCAGTGTTTGTAATTCTTCATGTAGACCAATAACAGGCTGAGATGCGACCAGCGTGTTATATATAGTTGTCTGGGTCTCTTAGTATAGGTGCAGCATATGTTAAACAGCATGAGTGTGTCTGCTAGGATGGTTACCATCTCCTGAAATAACATATGCCAAGCCAATAAACTTTCTCTTGCATTGGCATACACAGCAGCGGTTTTGCCAGAAAACTGGTGTCAGCTAGGGAGTATGCGTTTTCCAAGTTCTGAGCTGTAGCAGCAGACTCTCATAGTCCAGACGGGGCTGTAGACAAGTCTCTGTCATTTTTTCCAGCCTGTCAATTTATTCAGTGGTTTGAACTGACATATTGTTGGAAATGGCAGAAGCCAATGTGGCGTGTTTTGCAATAGGCTTTCATCAGTTCTGACACACCATTTTAACACCAATGGAAATTTTTAGGTGGTATCTTGTGGAGTAAAGGTGGCCTCTGTTTAATTCTTGCTGTTTATACATGTTTGAGAAACAGCAGTTTCCAGTGAAGATGTATTTTAATTTACCATATGTGTGAAAAGTTTAATTAGCATATTCATTGACCAGCCTAGAAGTAGCGTTGTAACTGTTTTTACAGACAGTTTATAAATTGTTAAATCCCAGCAGAATCAGCTGTATTTTACAGAGAAAGTGCTACATCTGTCCTATGGGCATTCGGACATAGAAAGTGAACGTAGTAGAGGAGTGAATGATCTTTTGTATTCTCTAAAAACTGATCTCTATTTCTGAACGTGAGCATGGACAGCTCCTGTTAGCTTCGGTAGTCGCTTGGCCTGTGCGGGGAAGAGCAGACTTTAAGCCTTGGTTTTAGAGTACATTATTCATTTGAATATATGCATGTGCTAGATAATAGCTACAGTCGTTTTGTTGTGAGCAAATTATTGGAGTCCAAGTGATGGTTGTTACCTTTTTCTCCTCTTTGGGAATTGAACGATGGACCAGTATTCTCAAAGTACTCTTTAGTCAGTCTACCTGTGTTAATACAGTGTCTCCATAGCAAATAGATCTGAAATTGCTGGTAACTTGCTCAATGGACAGAATTTGTCAAGGGGCTAGGTCATCAGGAACGGAACACTTCAAAGTTACTGCAATAATTTAATGTGCCAAGTGTATACTTATTTAAAACCATTTTGTGAAGTTTTTAGATTATGTTGGAATTAATGTGCAGCAATCAAAAAGTAATTGTAGCTTGAAGAAATAGCCTATCTGTTAATCGCACCAGTGTCCAACAGAATGATAAGATATTGAGAACTTGTTCCCTCCGGCGTCTTATTCTTATTTCCACATAAATCTGAAATTAAGCATCAGGCAGTATTTGATAGATTTACACAATGCATTTTGGTTTAGGTTAAGGCCATTGATTTTGAAAGATCATACTTCACAAGATTGGTTTGTGTAACTCCAGAAACGGTAGAGCAGAGGGAACTGGTGATTTGACAGCTAACAACGTTATGTTTTAGTTACCCTGCTGTGAAAAATTTTAGCTGCATTCTATCCATAAAGAACAATACCTTTTGAAATGTTTAGATGATATGTAGAGAGTGGATATCTTAGTTTTTATACATGTGCTATATATATATATACACACTACCAGCATTAAATAATGACAATAAAAAGGATTATTAAACCTTCTTTGCTGTAAAATGCAGAGTTGCACCGTACCATTAGTCTTTCATTTTGCTTTTCCTTTTTCTCTTGATTTTAAAAGGAAAATTAGCTTATTTAAATGAATGTCTATGGTAAATCATGATACAAATTTCAATATGAAAGATAGGGTAGAAATAAATACTGAACAGTGAATTTCATTGCGACTATAGGTCTCAGGTAGTAAGTTCTCTTATGAATAGTCCTTTCATTGGGAGTTCCTCCTCTAGGAAGGTTTTTTAGAGTATGAATTTTCAATTCTTGATCATAGAACTTGACTATTAATGGCTATTACTATAAACTTAGTCAAGTCAGGTACGTGACAAAGCTTAAGAGAGCCTTAAGAGAGGCTGCCTAGGTCTGGGTCCGGGCAGGGGCAGGGCTATGGCGGGACTGGAGCTGGCACCGCTGCGGTGCTGCAGGGCAGCCCTGGGCTGAGATGCGGCTGGGGCCAGGTGGGGAGGAGGCCCAGGGTGGAAGGGGCAGGGACAACGAGGGCTGCTGGGCCCCCAGGGCCAGACCGAGGCATTCAAGGCTGAGGGAGCCTTCTCCTCACAGGCTGCAAAAACGGCTGGGTCTTTCTAAATGGGCAGTGTCCACATCAGCAATAATACAGGCCAACAGCCGCAGATCTGTACCAAGAGAAGCAGTTGGTGCTGGGGACCTGATCCCTGCTGTGTGCACCCCTGTGTACAGCTCTCCTCTGATGCAATGGACTGAATGCTCGTCTGTGGCTGGAGTGTGCTGGGTGGGCTCAGAGCACACCTTCTGCTCCAGTTACCTCTTAAAAGAATCTAGTTTACGTGCCCCATGACCAGTCCATGGTGGAAACTAAAGCACAGGGAATGGGGAAGACTGCGAGGTTCACTTCAAAGGCACGTCCATCATGCAAATGAAACCACCAGGGTAGGTGCATCCATAGCGATCTGACTTAGTAGTCTCAGATTCTGTAGGAGACTGTAATGCATTTTTTTCTATTGACTTTCTTATGAGGCCTGGTGCCCTTATAAAATACACAAGAATTTATGAAGCACGTAGAATAACACAAAGCAACACACACATGGCAAAATATTGGGAGCGGTTTACTTGATGGAAAAAAAAAAAACTTAACATGTTAAAATACCTGTTTTTCATCAAGACAGGCCAAAATTGCATTCTTCATTGACATTCCTTGATGCTTACCTTTTCTGTATATAGTGAATAAGGAAGTACAAAGCTAAGCTAATATAGAAACAGAAAGAAAACAGGACTTCAGTGATGATTTGATCAACAAGTTAACTCTCCCCTCAAAGATCTGATTTTACTGTACGGTGCTTGTCGGTGCTCATTCTAGATGAATCCTTACAGTTATATCTCATTAATAATGAAAAGTGTAATAAAAAGGAATTAAATACAAATATGTTTAAAATATCATTACAAGAAATCAGATGAGCTTTAATTCATTTTATTTACTGTTAATAAACAGAGTTTGGAGAGTCAACTGAGGGATGATAACATACTGGACTTTTCAACACTGATTATTTTTACTCATTGTCCATAATATTTTCCAAGTAAATTTTCAAGCAGCACTGTAGACAGATTTTATATGCAGAGTTAAAAACAGAGCAGTAAGATGGCCCCTTGCTGAGATTTAAAATGGCATAAACTTCAACAAGTTTATTGCAGAGCAGAGAAAAGAATAGCAGATTTCCACCAGTGAAATGATGTGATTGAATCAGATCATGACAAGCCTGGCATACAATCTTGTCTGCTCTCAAACGAATGATAACTGTGGTTGTGGACAGAAAATAAAGTTGGAGAGTCAGTGGATAGTCTGCAGTGTGACATGAGAGAAGCTACAGAATCAAACTGTAAAATAGATGGGAGAGGAGTGGAAGGGAGAGAAGAAAACAAAACAAAACAAAAACCCAATTTGCATATCTCAGATAACTCTAGGATTTTTTTTTTATCTGCTTTGGCTTATGTTACCTTCTATTACTTCAGTATGAAAACAGTATGTATCTCAGGACTACATACATTGTTAATCTCTTTATTAGTTTTTACAACTTTACAGTTTTACACTTTCGATTTTTGCTTTTAATTACCTACATGCCGTGCTCTACCCATTATTTATTTTTTCTTGTGACTATTTTACAGAGCCATAGATATGTTGAAAGAATTTCTCAGAGCTAGCTTAGATTAGTACATGGATGAGACCTTTCCAAATTAAAAAATAAACTTGCTAGAGAATATGCAGTTGCTAATTCAGTAGTACCTTCAGGAGCTGCCACTGTTACTGTGCTTTTGTTTTGAATTCATTTGTATGAATACTTTACTATAAAGCATTAATAATCTTGCTAAATTCAGCATCATTGTTGGATCCGATCATACAATAATAATGCCATGTACTAGAGAACAAAATGTGTACTGGCGCGCTTTTTGCTAGTGGAAAGCAGGCAACAGGGCAGACCTGTTTGAATGAGATTTCAGATGCCTGTTCTTTCTAGAATGAATTTGTGCCAGTTTTATAATTGTTTTGTTGAAAACCTCCGGATGAAGGGACCTGTCGCTTTATTTTATTCACATTACTCTTTCATCCTTCTTGCTTTTGTTTTCTCTTGTGACCCTCTTTGTCCTTAGCTGCTGTTATCCTTAAGTTTTCCCAGAAACCAGTCCTGAGAAGAAAATCTGCTGGTTGTTTACAGCCTCCCATGTTGCTCTAGGACTTTTCAGTTTTTTTGCATATGCTATGGTTAATCTACATTGCATGTGTTTTTATTTTTTCAGGAAACTGAAGCAGCAGTTCAGGCTAAGCAGCCGAATGTGGAAGAGGTTTTGTCTAAAGGGTGTCATTTATATAAGGAAAAACCAGCCACTCATCCAGTAAAGGTAATGAAGCAAACTGTAGCAATATCCATTACTGTGTAATGAGTTGTGCTTCCCCTGTTGTACACTTGTCCTTGACGTGTTCTGTTTAAAATCAATGAAAGAACTTGGCAAATAGTATTTGTTCTGTTCTGTGACAGCATAGCCAGGAATAATGTAATGTTCCCAGCTAGAAAATTTTTTCATACTGTGGTGGAAGAATTGTATTTGACATTAATGTTCTTCCATCTATTCAAGAGTAATCCATGTTGAAAACAAATGTTAAGTGTTTTTTACCTTATTAATTAAATCAGGTAACATGTTTTTGAGTTTCCCTATTTTAAATTATAAATTATACTTTCAGAAGTACTCTCAATCAAAAAAAGTGAATGTATTTTTTAGAAAAGGTAAGAGTCAAGTTACAGGAGAGTCCTTTGCTTTGAAGTTTTCTCATTATGAATGCAAAAGCAGTGCAATATGGAACATTCCCACTCTCTTTTCTCTCTCCCAATATTAGTACAGAATGACTTGATTCTGTTTAGGAGCAAAGGAATACATTGTTAAGAAGGCTGTTCCCTCTCAACTTTTCTCTTTTAGACAAATGTACTGTAGAATCCTTTCCTCCAACATGGAAATCAGTTTGAAGGGGATATTTTTCACTTAGTTTCACAGAGACTTTTTAGACCTTCATAGAGGCTGGAGTGTCATTTACTATCCTATAGAATCTTGAAGGAGAAAATAATAGCAGAAAATAAACAGAGGAAGGTTTCCTCACAAAGTTAGGATGTCTGCAGGTGACCGCTACAGTGAATTTATAGTTTTGCTATCTATATTTAGTCACTATATTTGGAGTATTTTTTTCCTTCTTTTGCAAAATCTCCCCTCGCTAAGTCATTTATAAATCCCACCATCAGGTCTCCATTCACAGGAGAACATGTATGCGCTTATCTCCACCTAAGAAACTACTGCATATTTAATCATATTTTCGTTTCTTTTCTATTTTCCAGAACAGAAATCTTTGAAAATAGCTTTCCCCTTTATTATCTGTTTTTTTAATGCTCTTAAACAGTGAGAAAGACTAAAAGAGTTGAAGTCAGGCTGACTTAGAATTAGTGTGCTAATGAGAGTGTGCAGAACAAAGCTTTTGACTCTCTGTTATGCAATTTTGCTTGGCTATGTGATAGCTATTATTGTTGGGAAAAAACTCTCTGCAGTAAATGCATTTACTCATTTGGTATGACTACAGTTGCAGTCTTAGGGGACCTTACTCAACATCTTAACAAGCAAAACACTTGAAGCAAGAAAAGACTGGAGGTTTTGGCTTTTCCAGATTTTTGTAATGTGCATATGATGAATTGTGGAATAAATACAGGCAAGTTCAAGGAGAAGAATTAAAACTGTTGTGTACCGTTGGCCAAAATCTAAATGATATGAAATGATTCTGTGCAGACCAAACTTCTGACATAGACTTGTACTCCATATCCGTTTCTTTTAAAAGTGATCACACCAAGGACACTGAAAACTGCCAATTTCTAGACATTTCTAAACTTCTAAAACTAGATTTACTCAAACACAATAAACTGGAACAAGATAACTCTTTAAAAAGAGCTTATGACATTTCTTGAGTTGCAATTTTGACAGTGATATTATAAAATATGTCTGTGAGAAAATTAATAACTATTTGTGGAGTAGAGGGTATTTCATTCCTAGTCCCTCTTTAATTGCGTTTTACTTCTTTCATTACATTCTGTAGTTCAGTTAATTGACCAACCTGTGAAGTTAATTCCTGCTTCACTGACTGTCTTGTACAGTAAGTAATAGAACAGTGCATATATACTGTCAGAGCTGTTGAAGTGCTTTCTTGATGTTGCAGTTTTCTTTAAGCTTCCATCCATTTATACTGAGCTGATCTTCTCTGATGGTTCCTAGTGAGTAACTTCCAGTACTGTTTGCTATTTGCATGTTTCAATGCAGACTTTACAATAAAAGCCAAAATCATTTTCTAGACAAAAGGGATTTTGTGGAATCAGAAATCATTTGTACTCAAATTATGCTATTTTAAAAGGATATTAGTGAGGTTATGAAGTCAAACACTCAGTGATTGGGCAAAATTCTTTGATTAAGGTTGACTGGGCAGCTTTGTTTTTTCCCACAAGAGCCCTGACAGGTTCAGTAGAGGGTGTGGACAGTAGTCCCACTGTGAGCAGCAATTCAGTATTTTAATTCATATTTTAATTCTTTAATTTGTGGCTGCGATCTGCACTTTTGCGGTAAAGTATTTAAGTTCTGCTCTGAAGAACAATGGAAGAGGGTAATTCCCTCTGGGACTTTTTCAGAGCACTGATCACAGTGGTGTCTAAGTGGTTCATAAACATTACTTGATTTTAGATTTATTTCTGTAGCTGTTTTTTTTGTTTTGCACAAAAATTAAAGAGAAAAAAGCAACAGTAGGGTCAAATTAAATATGTCACTTGACACAAATTTGAAAAAAAAAGTTCCTGTTTTCTCAACTTTTAAAATTAATTAAGACATACCAGAAAATTCAGTATATTTTCCTCAGCAATTATGAAACAAATTTGGAGGTTTAATTGAGACTAGGTGGTATTCCAAACAAATGAAGTATTTGATCTGAAAATACTCTCCCAGATTGAATTAACTTCTGTGTAACAAGATGGTATTTTCATCTTTATTTATACATGGGGGCTCAGACAGAGAGAGATTAAAGCTGAATATCGCAGATACTTCTGGATATCAAATTTGAAACACCAACCATCATATTCTTCAGTATCGTATTATGTAATATTTTACATGATAGAAGCACAATTTTCACAATTTCAGTTGCAGCTGGGATTACTCAACACTTCTTCAGATAAGATACCGATGTCTCAAGTTGGATGCACAGAAAAAAAATGACTTAGCCTCTTTAAAAGCATTCATTACTTTGCTCAGCATTGCTTGAGAATTCTGTAGAGAATTTAGTTCTCTGAGGCAGCCTTGTCTTAACTTTCCTTTTTTCCCCTCTAATTTCCATCTTATTTCACCAGTCTTTCCATTCTTTTCAGTAAATGAAGTAGAGATCCTACAGAGTTCAGCCTTCTTTGTCCCTGTCTGACTCATTCATACTGCAGGCCTCCCCTCTTGTGGAAAATAATGTGTATCAAGATACTAGTGTAATCATATGCATTGGAAGTGAATTAATATTCATAGTTGACTTTATTCTGGCATTCCCTAATCTTTAGCTGTTTGTCTTTACAATCTTTATAATATACTCTCATTATGATATTTTAAATAGAAATTCAATCGCATAGCTTTATATTGGCACTTACGTCACCTAAGGGTTGAAACACTGAGCTCCACGCTGCGTCTCCAACCCATGAGGTAGCTGATGACCAATCAGTTGTTATTTCATGACTTCTCCAGTCTGCGCTTTCCCTGTTCGGTCCCTGTGTCCCGTTCCTACCCCTCTGTGGTTTCCCCCACTTACAAGTTGTCAGAATCACATCGCAGGCGCTGACTCCTTATTGTCTCCTGCTCCCGCAGCCCCACTTAGAATAAATTAAGCCTAACTGTGCATTTTCAGGTATAACTGTCTTTGATCAATGTCAATACGTCATGTGTTAATTGTATAGAGTGTTGATCTGTTTGTTGTAGGATGGTGTTAAAGGATGTGTTGCACTGTGAAGTTTAGGTAGATTCACATGTCTTTAGCTAAAGATCTAGAGCATTTCTGGCAGAAAAAAATACTTACTTGACGTGAATATCTGTGTTAAATTGTTCTATGAGAATGAAAAATAGTAGTGTGTGTGAAATACCCAGAATAGAGATTTCCTTGTTTAACTAACATGTGCAAACAAAACAAGTGCAACTAATTATTCCTGCTACAAAAATGATTCCAAAAATATAGTAACTTCACAAAGATCTACTTGACACTTTCTATAATTGTTTTTTGTCAATTGCAAGAGGTGTGACCTAGAGGATTGATAAATCTTTTAGGAAAAGCTTTTTTTACTCACTGTTTTGAAGAACATAAAAAGAACAATAATTTATACTGGTTATTGGTTTAGGTCACCCCCTTCCTTCCACGTCCTTACACTAAAGAGTTGCTAAGTAGAAGAAGTGAAGATGATAGTTGCTGTCTGTCAGTCATTATTTCAGGAGGCAAGACCTGAAAAGCGACAATAGCATTAGTCTGTTTGTGATACCTTAGTCATAGCCATGGACTTTTTAATTTTTGTACCAATTTTTTGTACCAATTTGTATCTAATTTTTCAAATGGTAATTCTCATAACAAAATTTGTCTTTATGTCATCAAAGCATATTGCTCAAGTCCTTAAAGTAAGTAATAAGCCAATAAGTAAGTAATAGGCTGATAAATACTCATATATCGACCATGTTCTCCATTTGAAACCTGTCCAGCAGCCCCAAATGAAATATTCTTGATAAGGTAGATGATTGCAAACTATTTGTATTACAACTTTTCCTGTGTGAGAAATTACAATGGCAAAGCCAGGAATTGTTTCCCGGGGTAAAATTTATCTATCTTCAAATGAGGATTGATTTTGAATTTGTAAGTTAATAGTTAACTAAATATTTGATCAGTCGCCATACCGAATGCCCAGAATGTATAATCATTGTTGACTGTACAGGTATACTATATTATACTAATGTATGGTTTTACTGTGGTTAGAATGTATGTTAGTAAGCCCTTGGTAATGGATTAAGTGTTGTTTGATTAGGGTGAGTTATACCTCTTATCTCACAGTTACGTTATTGAAATATACATATTTTCACACCCTCTCAAAGCATGTGATGGTATCAGAATTTTGTGATGTGGGAGTGTAAAAATACTTTTCTTGGTAAATTAAATCCTAGGCTGTGATCATTCTGTATGGCAACTGATTCAAGAATCAGGAATGTAAAAGAAAATGTGATCATTTAAGCACTAGCCCATTAATGATCTAACCTATTCAAGTTTAGGAAATGGACTTCATGCTTGTGAAATGTATTTCTGTAAAGTAACTTTTTTGGCTTTTGAGGGTGGGAGAGGGAGAGGTTACTGCTGGTGACAGCGGCAAATGTAAGCCCCAGTCTGACGGTTATCAGCACTTAAACTGAACAGTTTATTGAAGAAGGGATTTCAGCAGCAGTTAAAGAGCTGTAGTTCCCCTGCCACATCGGTTTGTGCTTTCCGGAAATGTTGCGGAGGGAGAGCAAGTAGCAGGAGGGAAAGAAGACTTCAGGAATACCTTTAGAGCTCAGTTTCCTTGTCCTCAGTCTTGCATTTAAAAAAACTACATTATTTCTCTCTGTAAATGCCCTTATCTAGTTTTAGTGCTGTCACTGAGATGAGTTCATGTATGAATGTTAACCTCACTTAAGCTGTACTTGTGCCAACATTTAAAGGAAATCAATAAATCAATAAAAATAATCCTCAATTCAATACATTCTGAAACTAATGCTTGTCACCAAAGCTCAAGAACTGCAATTACAGCAAAATTGTTCCACTTAAAGTGAACATTTTAGTGTGGACAGGCTAATTAATGGTAGATGCAAGACTGGATCAAACTGTAATTCTGAAGAGCTGGGAACTAAATACGCTTTCACTAGTTGTGTAGGGCCTTAGACAACCCTTTCTGTCGTCTGTGGGGAGCAGGTTCTGTATTTTGTTGTTGCTGGAAACAAATCCCTGGCTCACATCCATGACTAAGTAAAGCAACTACTCCCGGTGAGGACTGATATTGTATTTACAGGAACCATGTATCTTTCCTGAGTTACTAGGAATATACTGCAGTCAAAACTAAGCCAAACTTAGTGTGTATTTTCTCCAGCTTCTGTTTTCAAGGGCTCTCTGCTTTCATTGCTGCTATTGAAATAATGGATATTGGAACAATCCTTTCCATTCTAAGCTCTGGAATAAAATTCTTGAGCTAGAGCAGCAGGAAAAAAAAATGGAACTTGTAGATGCATCAAAAAATGTGTTCCACAGACTGTGTTTCTGTGTATTCATACTGCACACAGAAATAAAGCGTGTGTATAACAGTGAATTGTCATATGATAGGTGGCTTTTATCACGCACGTTTGATTGATTGCTTCTTCTGCATTCTTTTCATAGTCTATACTCAAAGAGAATCTCGGATATTCCAGACTTTTGCTTTTTTTTTTTTTTTAAGGCAGTTTTTAAGCTACTCTAACAGCTAAAAACATATTTTATTCCCTGATGCAGAGTTATCTCCCTTCTTTCCTACGCTATCAAAAAGCTGTCCAGAATTTATACCAGGTAATATTCTGGCCTCTATTGGCAACAGATGTAAAAGAACTTTTTTGCAGGGTTACAGTTTTTACTGGTGAGACTTGAGGCAAATTCTAGAAGCCCCTAAGAGATCCCAGTGTAAAATCATGCTATTTCAGTTTGTGCATGCATGTTTTAGTCAAGTGAGTATTGTTCTCTACCCCTGCTTTATTGAGCCCTGTCTTTTTAGACACAAGGTAATGAAGTTCTCTTTCGTAATAGCCATCATACTTCCATCAAGCCTGGATTATGTTTTGGACTATATATCTAATCAGAAATAGAATAAGAATATTAAAAGCAGCTGTGAAGGGCATGGGTACGCTGTGCTGCTTTCTTCAGCAGGCAGTCAGGGAGCAGTTTAAAGGAAAGCTGAAGTCTTCATTTTAAGTGTTTAGAGATGCCAGCATATAATTAGTATGCTTCATCCTTTCCTCCAGTTTTTGAGCAAGGAAGAAAGAGGGGTAGAAATGTCATGTCCAAGCCTGAATGCCTCCCAGGGTTATTGAGGATTGATACAAATCATATTCCAGACTTTTACTTAGGCTTTTTTTTTGAAGTAACAGTTTAGCTATTAGTGCTCAGGGCTGCGTGCCCACACACTGAAATTTAAGATTTTCTGGAGTCTCTTATGATTTTTTTTCTCATTTTTGTAGGGGGAGGAATGTGTTCTGCATTTGAGATTACAAATTGCAGAGGTTTTATTAGCATGTTTTCCTAATATGTAATTAAATTCTGCATTTTCATTAGCAAAATGAATATAGCAGGTTCTTGATGATAAAAAACTCTGCTGTATGTAAAAAAGGGAGTCATCCTGTGTTCCCTAAAAAGGTGTAAAGGTCTGTCCATCCGGGAATAGCAAGAACGGCAGCTCCCTGTGGCAGGAGGCGAGTGGCGGCAGGGCCAGGCCTGACCTGACCG